ATTATAATTGTTTACCTTGGACAAGCTAACGGACTGTAGTTGTTAATGGACTGACAGTCTATTTTTTAGTTGAAATATTCATGTGCAAATTTTCATTATTTTTATTGTATATCATTCATGATTTTGTATAGCATTATACGTCTTGGCATTCCCCCGGAGGAGCTGGAGGAAGTGTCTGGAGAGAGGGAAGTCTGGTCATCTTTGCTTAGACTGCTGCCCCTGCAACCCGGTTCTGGATAAGTGGAGGAAAATGGATGGATGGATTTACGTAATCAAAAACAGCTATAGCGCCACCATGTGGTGAGATAATAGCAACTTCATGTTGCCAATATCTTGATCTGAAATAATCCAGTGTTCACAAATTTGCTACTGCTAATCTGCACCAAACTTCATACATACCCTATTTGGAGGTCACCTTATCATAGTCATATGTTTGCTTTGTAATATCACATATCATCATTGGTTAACAAATATTAGTAGGTGTGGCTAAACGTAAATTAAAAATAAATTTGCCTTCAGGCAAATTGGTTCACATGTACAGAAAGATGCTGAACATAGGCTGATTTATACTGCTGCGTCTAGTGAATCCCGTAGCCTATAGCCTATGCCACCGTGAGCATTTATACTTCTGTGCTGTGTAGCTCTGCAGTAACACCTCCCAAACACTAGTTGGCAGTGGAGTTTCTAGGTTCCATTGTGTGGAGTTTTTCACTGGTGTTTTGAGTTTCTGCTGTAGGAACAACGGCAACTAAAACTGAGCTGATCAACTTAGAAAAACGTTTAAACTTTAGGTTTAACTTTAACATATCCTACATTTTAACAATCATAGTTTGTGAGCAGTTAGTGGGGCACTTACCAAGATAATCATTTGACTTTCTTCCAGAAATGCATCTTTGTAGTTTTTTTAATCATATATATATTTGTAGCATATTAGATGAATATTTACACAGGCATCACATAAAATTATGGTCAGTAGCAGTATTATTAACCAAACCTGTACCGTACTTTTAATATTTTGTTCATGTAGAAATAAAGGTATGTATACGCTAAATGGTGAAAGGTTTTGTACCGTTAATTTAAATGTACACATACAATAAATCTGTTGTTTGGACTAAGTAATACCGTTAACTTTAGGGTAGATACTTGCTTGTAACATAATGGAATTTTCCTATTAATTTCACAAAGATTCAGTATTTTTACAGAAAAAAATAATCATTTCTATATATTATGGCAGTAAAAAATATAGTTATCTACTGTTTATTGATTAATAGTAATACAATGTGTAAATTACAGTAATACAATGTTTTACTTTTAACAGTCTTTTACTGTTGCTATTTCACAGTATTTTACTGTAATTTTTACGAACATTTTTTACAGTGTAGTGCAGATACTGAGCCCAGCAGAACAGCTATTACTGGTACTGTTAATCACATACTGGCACCGACACTAACACTACGCGGGGCCCCTAATGCTACTAATGCAAAAATATTACAGTTCCTTTTAGTATAGCCAAGTACTGCAACTAGTATCACTACTCTTTCCAGTGATTTGTCATTTCCTATGAATAAATTAAATGCACCTGGGAACCTGAGTAGTTTACACACAGTCACCTGTTAGCCTGCTGGTTTTAGATATGTTTCGATTTTGACGCCATTCTGTTCCTCTACCGGTACATTTTATTTCTCGCTTAATAAACGACCTGAGGTCTGTGAGCTGCCTGTTGACGTGAGCTACCTCAGCTCTGTGACTGTTAGAGCTAATTGTGTTTGACCAGCAGTGGCAAAATAATAATCCAGTAAATCCAGAGCGGTGTGACTGTGTAATCAGCTGTTGTTCGTTTGTCTGTGCACTTCCTCTGTCTCCTCTGATCCCCAGATGCGACTGACAGAGGACACCGGCGAATGGGAGGCCAGAACCTGAAAGCCATCAGCCGCATGACTTCTCCAGTGGCTGCTCCCTCCCCGACAGCTGGCACCTCTGTGAGTAAACAGGAAGAGCAGCCCCTCCCGAGAGGCGCCTTCATGTAATGTAGGCATCTTAACAGGAATAGGAGTCCATGAGCTGCCCAGCAGAAGGGAGACAGTCAGAGAGCAGCTGCTGGAGCATTTAGCAGCTAAAGAGTGTGACGCTTCCCCCAGGAGGTGGTGGAGGGCACACACAGAGCCAGCAGAGAGGGACTCTGCACCAAGATCAACGGCCACGTTGCTCTGTAGCTGCTGCATGATGTGGAGACAGGCAGCTGTTTGTTATCAGCTTCACCACATCAGCTTAGAATGTGATGATGTGTCAACGTTGTGTTCACCTGTTTCAGTGGACATCGGCTATAGGAGCTTTAAATGAACTGACGTCTGTCCAAAGTCACTGACAGACATGGTGGAGGGTGCTTTGTTTTGACTACCTGGCTGATTTCTGTCCAGGTGTCTGGTAAGAGGACGGTGCTGCTTTTCAATGAGGTGAGGAAGGAGCTGGTGAAGCAGGCGAGAGTGGTGAAAGATGAGAGACGAGCGACGCTGGACACCCGGCACAAATAGTTAATCGGCAGGCTGGCAGACGCTGGGCCCCTGGCGGAGCCGGAGGTGGAGGATGCCCTCGTCTCCGATGACAAGGTAGCGTCTCGGTTAAAATAGTGGATCAGAGAAGTGGCTTTCTTCTCCAACAGTCAGTGTTTAAATGGATTAACCCTGATTCTTCCAGTTTACTCTCATTGAGGAGTTCTTCGCTGCAAATGGATCCAAGGAACTGGTGTTTTTCTACCAGTGTGTGAACAAGGTAACTACCACAAGAAACAGTTGAAGTTATGTGACTCCTGTGTACAGCTCTACCGTTTCTGATGCCTCACCACTCCTCCATGTTCCTCTGCCCTCATCTTTTTCTCATTACTCTTCCCTGTCTCTGTACTTGTCCACCTGCTCACCTGTCTGTCTCCCTAGAATTTGTCCTCCAGTCTTTCCTCGTCTGTGGACGTAGCAGCTTCAGCTGTGGCCCAGCAGAAACTCTTCCTCACTACGGGGAGCTCTGAGGTAGGCTCCAGCTGTGTAACCAGGTACTTCAGTACACAAAGAGCAGTGAGAACGCTGAGTGTTTTCCAGAGGTTCATCCCTCGCTGTGGTGGCGTACAGTGCATTTACTTAGCTTCATCACCTCTGCTTGCATGATCTCCCTGTACTCCGGGTTCCTTCCACAGCCCAGAGACATGCATGACTGTGGGTACGGATGGTTGTCTGCCTCTAGATGAACCCACGTCTCCTATTTGTGTCCACGTTTCCCTCCTTTTCTTGTGTCTCAGTCCCACACACATAAGATGCAAGGACAGAGGACTCGAGGAAACATGTTTGTAATGATCCTTCATCTGAAGCATCCAATCACAAACTGATTTACCATAAAGGGACGTGTCGGTCTATGGATAACTTCCACCATAGGATGCTCTCATGTAGCCCTGTGAGAGACAGGTGTACCCCACCTCTCACACTGTGTCGGCTGGGAGCAGCTCCCACATAGCGAGGTGTGACTCTAATATGTAGAACTACCTGAGGAGTTGTCAGCGTATATGTGGTCTCACTGTGAATCCATGGCAGTGAGGCACCGCATTGTTCTGCCTCAGAGATAACTGCTCTGACCGGGTCTGTGTTGTGTTTCTATGGAAGAAAATCCTTCCTGCTGTTTTGTTTGGCATTTAGTTGGGTGATACACAGACATTTAATCCAGCAATACATCACACAGCCAGTGTGACTTGATCAAGTGGACTGTTGTCTCTTGTGTATCTAGTAACCGTCTCCATGACAAACACCAGGAAGCTACAAGCTAGTAATGTTGCTAATGAATCATGCTGTTTTTTTAGGTGTTATAAAAATACATTTGTAAATTCTGTTATCTAAAAGTTTAAGGTTTGCCAGGCTGCAGTTTAAATAAACCATCTGCAGGTTGTTTACACACGCCCTCTGGCAATACTCAAATCCTGGGGTAAAATGCATGGTTAATATGCACATATGTAAAATCTTGTCCTTGATTTCTTGATCTCTTGAATACTGTATCTTGTCTTGTTCTTAGGTATCTTGATTTGTTCTCAGGGATTAATTGTGGAAGGATCATTCTTGTTCTGATTGTCTCTCAAATACTATATTTTGTTTGTTCTTATGGTGTTTTGTTGCTGCTCTCTATTGCTGCTGGAACACAGGCATGTCCCCATTGTGGGATCAATAAAGTCCTACCTACCTACCAAACAGAAAAAAAACACAATTCACTGTTGCTGTTCAGACAAACTCTCTCTCCTTGTGTCTGTCTCAGTGCCATTTCAATTCCCTCTTTAAAGGCACAGTCTGGTCTGTGTCCATGTTTTTCCTGGTTTCAGGTGAGAGGTTTTCAGAGCCAATTTAAAGCCTCCATAAGTATCCTCAGTGCCGACAAACCTCTAAATGACTGTATTTAAATGTGAGGCTTTCCCAAAGTATGGGGACGAGGTTGACTGGAGATGCTCTCTGCTTTTGATGACAGTACCCAAGCCAAGAGAAGCTGATTCAAGTTAATCTGAGCCTTTCTGGTTTTTCAGCCTTTGCTGGGGAAGTGTCTCTTCTTCCTGAGGACCACTGACAAAGCGATCACCACCGCTAACATACAGCAGGTCAGTAACTTGACGCAATCCTCCTGCCTCTCAGTAAACTTTTAGAACAGGACCAGCTCATGGGCTCGTTGTGGTGCGTTCAGACAGGAGATGTGGACTGTGAAGGAGGCTGAGTTATGATCTGTGAAATATCATCTCCCCATGCTGTGGCACCTGCTGTGTTTACAGGAGATGAACTTCGGCATGTTGGACAGCAGCGATGGCAGCATCCTGAACAGTCTGGAGACTCTGCTGGCCCAGATCAGGGTTGCCGGCCCTGAGGTCGCAGCAGGTACACACCACCATCCGCTCTATAGAAAAAAGCCACAAAACTGAAATCGGTTTACACAGACCTGACATGACGTGCTGAGGATTTTGCTCCTGCATTTTATCCATCTACACTTGTATTGCTGACCCTTTATTCTTGGTCCAGTTGTGGGGCTTAGTGACGGAGGGCCTGTCCTGTCCACACGTCCAGTCCTTTCTCTCATCACTGGATCAGTTTGTCGGCCATCTGAGCTCAGCCAGAGTCAGCATAGAGAGGAGGTTCCGTCTGCAGCATGTCGACCTTCCTGATGCCATCAGCGAGCTGAGCAGCCCTGCAGACTACACTGCTGCAGGTAGGGGGGTCGACTACACCATAGATACAGAGCTGTCACATTTTCTCTGTTTCCGTCCTCTTGCAATCCACAGGGACATGAATATTACCTGGGCCACCAGTGGGAGTCTGTATGTTGCCTGTGTGTGCAAAACAAAACAGATGAGAACTCAGATTTCAGAGCACAAGAGACAGATTCAACATAGCAAAACATTTTTCAACACAATCTGTAGATGTTCTGAGGTGTTTCCTGGCAGGGTAGGGGTTGGCTTTTGTTTTAGACCCTGTTATTGAACTAAAGAAGAACAGAGTAGGTCTGTGTGAGGTTGTTTTCACATGTCAACCAAGCTCGTACAGCAAGGTGACCCCAAAAAGCCCCAGCCACACTTTAACAATTAACAGAGTGAATAAGACGGCCTGTGCTTTTGCTCTCAGCCAATAACAGCGAGCTTGTGGAGCATCTGGAGGGAATCGTCTCAGTGTGGGCCAATCAGATCAAGCAGGTGCTGACGGTTTGAGCGAGCAAATGAGGAAGGAGGCCGATGACGTTGGACCATCAGCAAAGCTGGAGCACTGGAAGAGGCACATGGTCACTTTTAACAGGTACTGGTTTTCAGTCCAGTGGTTAAACTTCATTGGTGTTTACATGTTTACAGTAAGGCCTCTGTGGACATAAATACCAGTTGAAGTTCATTTGTAATAAACTGTGGAACTGCACATGCTGGTGTGTTGATTGTTATGTTGTGATATAGTTTAGTTCTGATGACTCACTGATTGGTGTGTTGATGCATTTGCTAGACTGAATGAAATCTTAGTGGATATAGGAAGCGTACTACAGCTGGTGTGTAGGAGAACGAGCAGCTACGTCCTCCGGGGGGCTGTCGCACGGGACAAACAGCAAAGACAGTTCAGTAAAAGATTGACACTAGGATGTGTGTGTTTTTCTGCTCTGTTTTTTTTTACATTCACTGATTCATAACATCAGTAATGCTGGCTGTAACGTGTGTGTGTGTGTGTCAGTCTGACGGAGGAGCTGAAGCGTCCTCAGGTGAAGAGGACTCTGGGGGGTTCTGCAGGTGACCAGGTCCTGGACGCTCCGGACCTGGAGAGAGCTGGTCTGAAACCACACTGAGTCTGATGTTTTAAATATTAGTTCAGCTCACAGCTGTTACGTTGATGTCACTAACATCACTTCTAATTGATTTAAGGACGGGGACATCACTGTCATGGCTGACGAGGCCAAGGACAACGTGAAGTATCTCTACACCCTGGAAAAGTTCTTTGGACTGCTGGGGAAGTGCACACCGGTAAGAATCAGCTGTTCTGTGGAGTCTCTGGATTCACACGACAAGCCTTCCGTCTCTGTGAACTTTACGCCCCCGTTTTACAGTAGATGCATGTTGTTGGTTTGTGACCTGCCATGTGCTCAGTTCAAAGAAAAAGATGAACAAAATCACACACCTGTTTCATAGGAGGCTGTCAGAGTTGCCATTGTTGCATGTTGCATAACCTTGTCTCCCTCCAGACCAGTATCCTGGAGCACATCCCCACTCTGATGAGCAGTATCAGGATGATCCACACTGTCTCTTGGTACTACAACACCTCAGAGAGGATGACCTCTCTGCTGCTGAAGGTCACCAACCAGATGATCGCCAGCTGCAGGAGCTACCTGGCACAAGGCGTGGCCCCCATCTGGGACCACAGCAGGTACACAGGACCAGACCGCTGCACAGAGCAGACACATCTAGAGCAGACAAGATAAAGCAACATGAGATGAGACCAGAGGAGAATGTGATGAGTCAGGTCATGGTTAACATCAAGCTGACCCCAACAAACTGAGGACAACAAGATTTACCTCCATCAGATTTGACTAGACGAGAACATGTTAGATGGAACAGGGTCAGTGTAGATGGACCAGAAGGAGGACAACATTAGACTTGATGGCAGCAGATTAGACAGCAGGAGATTAAATGTGACAGTATGGCGTGACACTGGTTGAGACTAAATGAAATTAGATTGCAGGAAGCCAGTGAGCAGAGGTTAGTGAAGGCTGCCTCCATGTTAGCAGGCTCCATACAGCAGAACACTGGAGCGGACAGGACAGTCAGACTAGCTGAGACAAGGAGTGGTCTTAGATGAGAATAACCAAGTGATACGAGATTAGACCATCCCAGATGGAGTCAGACAGGAGGAAGCTGGTCGGGATTAGATGTGATGAGATGCTTCAAACTAGGACTAGACTCTGTGGGAAGAGATAAGCCTGTGTAGAAGACACCAGATAAACTGAGATCAGAGATTAGAGGAGACTAGACCAGATGAGTTTACACAAGAACTTTGTACTGGACTATAATAAACCATACGGAATAAATATGAATTAACAGTCAGGGAGAGTTAACGGGATGCAAACACACATTCACCTGACAGCTGAACTGGACAGAAAGGGAGACAGACAGACTGTGTGTGCGTGTGTGTCTGCGTGCGTGGGTGCATGCGTAAGGCCGGTGCTGCTGCAGTGTATCTCAGAATGCTGCCATCTGAACCTGGAGTACCACAGGAGCTTCCATACCATCAGAGACAAACTGAGCGAACAGCTTGCAGATGGACACTTTGACTTCAGGTAAACACCCAGGCTCTAACTGCCCCCTTGTCCACGGTGCCTTCTTGCCAGGCAACATCAGACTACCTGTTGTGTTTGGTCGTCCTCAGTGAGAACTACATCTTTGGGAAGTTTGAAGCTTTCTGCAGGCGCCTGGAGAAGGTCGCGGATGTGACGTCGACGCTGGAGAGTCTGGCTGCTCTGAAACACATGAAGGTACATGTCATTAGGAACGCTGTGTGAACGTTATCGGTAGCAGTATGTTACACACTACAGAGGGTTGTTGTCGCAGTTTTCATTCATTTGTTTTTAACTATGAAATGTTTTACTTTTTGTTGTTATGCAGATCAGTTATTTTGGATAAAAGGTAAATGTGTTTTTATAATGACTTTGTTTTTATAGGGAAAAATCATTCTGTATGAATTAAACATTTGAAACTTGATGATTTTTCTTAATCAAATGATTAATCTCCACTGAGCCATGAACAGGAAGAGTTACATAAACTCAACTGTTCAAAGGATGCATTTTAAAATGTCAGTCATCAGGTCATTATAGGTACTCTGTGGTGATGAGGTCAGCAGGATTTTTCAGCAGGCCTCTGAGCAGTCAGTGTTATGTAACTGGAGAGATCTTCACCTAGGTTTACTGAGCACACACAGCCTGTGAATGCGAACCTCATACAGGGGGGACTGGTTGAAGCTGAGTGGCCGCTGTGTTGCAGGTGGAGGGCATTGAAAAGATTTACGTTCGCTACCAGACCCTTGTCTCCACAACCAGGGGCCTATTGCACAAAACTAGGATAAGGGATTAAGCCGGGATATCTTGGTGATCCTGGCTCAACTTATCCGTGATCCGGTTGCACTAAAGCTGGATTAGATGGCGGCAGGATGTTATGGTATAAATTACCATGGAGATTTATTCTGTGGAGCTAGCCTGCTCCAGACCAGGCTAAGTTCCAGGATTTATTTAATCTCATCCCTCATGTCAGTCAGCAGTCACCACAAACGGAAACCAATAGTTATTTCACTGCACACTATACATTGTTATCACATATAATTAGACCCACTGTCATTGTTTAAACGTTTGTGATCATTAATTTCAATCATTTTGGATAAATGATGA